TGTATAAGAGACAGCACACACACACACACACACACACACACACACACACACACACACACACATCCTCTTGGTGTCTTTTTTTCCGAACTTCCATAAAGATTTCTCAAGCCCATATCGAATTGGATTGCAGCTTCTGTTCCTTTAGCAAGCAGAGGAAAAACTGGGACCTCCTCCGACTAAACTGGGACCTCCTCCGACTAAGGAGCAGGGGGAAGAAAACGAAAAAGATGATGATGATGATGACCGCATGGATGAAAAGAGGGAGAAGAAGACGGATAATGGGCGTTGTTATGGATGGAACGCCATCGCGGTGCACGGATTTAGCAGCACCACAGGTTAATTCCACCCAAAAAAAAAAAAAAAACATTTACTGAACTGGCAGGGAACAATCTAGAACACATCCTTTACACCACCCTCTACTTATGAATACTTACACATTTCGGGGCAGGTGCTTGTCTTTCTCTTGAGGTCGATTCTTCGGGTTGATGACCTTGTCCTTGAAGCTGTGCTCACCCATCAGGCATACATCCATCAGTCACCCATCCACCATTCATCGTCCACATCATACACAAATTAGTAAGTTCAAAGAAAAATAAACGATTCCCAAAAAAACGAAAAAAAACGAAAAAAAACGAAAAAAAACGAAAAAAAACGAAAAAAAAAACAAAAAAAACGAAAACAAACGAAAAAAACGAAAAAAACGATTCCATCACAGCAGATCAGGAAATTGCAACATGGAGCTGCTTCAGCCAAGAGAACGGACGACGAAGGGGAGAAAAAAAAAAAAAAAAAAAACCAGAGTTGCACGGGGAGGGAACTGAGCAGCGATGGCTGAGCGTTCGACTAAACGACGTAATTAAGTTATCCAAGGCCTCGGCGCAGGTACACGAAACCGAAAAGAGAGAACGATTGCATCTGCCCACAAAAGGTGGCAAAATGCATTCGCCACTATTCATCGTAAATCGATGAACCATTCCAGTTTCTTCGGGAAGATGCACTCGCTTTTTTCTTTGTTTTCCCCGTATGCCGTACGGCGACGCATCATAACAATAAACAATAATAGCAAATTACCAATAGCAAATTAATAATAGCGAATTCAGGGTTGCCGGCGTTCGGGACGGGCCGAACGCCCGAACCCGAAGGTACGGGACCCCTTCGGAAGGCGTTCGGCCGTTCGGGCCGAACG